TGCAGAATTGACAAGTAGTTAAAGAACAAAGAATCTTTTTTAATCAAGAAGCATATCAAAATCAGGTAACTTTCTTAAGCAATTCATAGTACCGTTTGCCTTCTAGAAATTAAATGGCACTTGTTAGTTCAGGATCATAAAAGTATCTCAAAACATTACCTATACTAGGCACAACAGGGCAGTCTTTGAACTAAGCTCAGCATAAGAATCAGAAACATAAACCAGAATGCTTACTCCATTTCCCACTCTCCCAGTGAGGCATAATCTCCTGAAAGTACAATTCAGTCTGAACATAAGCTGAGAAACTCCTCCCTTAGACTGACACATTTCTAAAGTTATCCAAAAAGAATTTCTACATCCATTACCTCACTTCTTCTAATCCCCAAGTCAAAGAACAGTTACATGCAAATCATTTTAATTCTCACAGTAAAGCTAAAGTCAACTTACTTGATCTTTGGTGGCACAGGTTGCTGCTGTGTATTCTAGTTGAAGTAGATTCCATTAGAAAGAAAGTTACATCAGTGTAAGTGAAAACATACCACAGAGTGCTTTTCAAAGACACAAATCATTTTCACACAGATTGCTCCCCTTTTCTTGATTTATGTATGAGCACTAACTTACAGGTGAAGCTCTTCACTGTTCTCCTAGCCATTTATGCCAGATAAAGAATTTTAAAAGTTTCAATTTACATTAAATATGTCAGTCTGTAACTTGGAATATATTGGTCAGACACCTTATAAAAAGCAAAATGTTCAGCTTTAACTCATTTTCCTCCTGGATAAGAAGTATACCTGAAAGACATACAGTGGCTATGTTGCTAATCTAAAAGTCATGAAGGAAACCTGAAAGAGATCCAATAACTCAAGGTATCACTTTTAAATATAAAAACCTTTTAACTGTAAAATTTGTCTTTACATACACCCACCATGTTTTCTGTACACTTTCCTCCTCTATTCTTAAAATTATTAAAATGGAAGTAACTATGAAAGAGGGAGCACAACATCCAATGCAAATTCCCCCTTTTTTTCTTAATAAAAAAAAAGTGGGGGGAAGTGGGGAGAGTCAATTCTAGCATTTCTTCTGAAGACTTACAATAAAAAAAGGGAACTGAAAGCTGAAAAAGTGTCAGCAGAAAAAAGTCCATACAAACCACTTGCAAGCTACTAGAAAAAAAAAAAAGTTACTTTCTAGTAGTCACAAACAAGTTAGTATTGACAAAATGAGATGGTTAATTTGTATGTTAGTCCACAGATTGCAAGCCAGGAAGTTAAAATTTACTTCAATGAGTACACAGTAAATGACAGATTTGTATGCCATTCTTAAAGAGTTTTCAGGCTTCAAATTTTGCAACCTTGGTCTCAAATGAAAGAACACACGTTTAGAAGAAAAGTTAAATCCTTTGGAATTGCATGCACTAGAAAAGATTATTTTTAAAACCCAAGTTTTAAGAAGCCACTGAAGCCTAAAAGTACGTTCTAGCTTAACAAAGGAATCAAAACAGTAAACATATTAAGGAAAACATCTTACCACTTCTGGCTGTGATGCTGCAGAAAGAAAAGTGGTGCTTTCAGAAAAAGACATAATGAACTTACAAGGCACATATTTATTCTAGCTTTCTTCAGTTACTCTAGACATTTTGCATTTATTCCAGTCTCAACAGTAGAAGAGTTAAAAACACACCAGTTCTACCTCCAGGATTTTGCTTTTATGACACTCTACTTTTTAATCAGACTTCAATTAGCAACTTGTGCAAATGAACAACTGTAATATCAAGCATGTTCTGATTAAGAGAAGGAATAAACTTTCCATTACTTTCCCTTGCTCATTAGAAACCTATATAGACCTTTCTTAATGAAAGCAACATCACGGCAAACAAAAGTTTTTAAAAAATCACTTCCTGTGAGCATGTACCAAGTTTATCAACCATTCATAGGAACAGCACAAAGTTCTCACAGAATTTGTATCTCATGCTAGGCAAACTCAGTTGGGGAATGAGATTGACACTTGGCAGAGAAATTCACTCATATGACCTTAAATATACTGTAATACTTGTATCTAAACTATAGCTCAGTATCTCCTCTTCTAAGTATTTTTTCCTGAAATATTTCAGATTAAATATGTTTGAAAGAAACAAACTTTCCCTTTGCTTCTTTATAATGCGTACTACTAAAAAGAAATAAAGATTAACAAAAAAATAATACTAAATTGTAATCAAGAAGTCAGAGTTATTTTGTTGGGGTTATTTTTGATTATGTTATCAGAGAATTAAGAAAATGGCTCAAAAAAAGAAAAAACAGGGATGAATATTCAGGATAAAACAGGACAACTAAGTTAAACCAGACAAAACACTGCAAAAAGTAATTATGACATTAGAGAAAAATGTGTATTACAGCCTCTTCCCTTGAGAGGGCAAATAAAGTTGTCACCCAAGATAACTCTTTTTACCTAAGTCCTTGCACGCCAAACACTTTCTGAATTTCTCCAAATAAAAGTAAACCTGACAAAAATGTATCACAAAACAGAAATTTGTTCATTCCTATCAGAGAGTGTAGTGATAGCATGAGGGGTAACAGTTTCAAGCTGAAAGAAGGTAGATTTAGATGAGATATTAGGAAGACTTTTTTTACTGTGAGGCTGGCAAGACACTGGCACAGGTTGCCCAGAGAAGCTGTGGATGCCCCATCCCTGGAGGTGTTCAAGGCCAGGCTGGATGAGGCTTTGAGCAACCTGGTCTAGTGAAAGGTGTCCCTGCTCATGACTTGAAAATTTATTTTGAAGCTGTTTTCAGAAAGCAAGCTGACACACACTTCCACAGCTAAAATTAGTTAGCGTATGTGTACGTGTATGAAAACAAGTTAAAATTAATTAGGATTATCTAACCTTTAAAAAGGTACTCCTCTGTCACAGCTCATTATTACATTAAAAACCTAATATTAATGGTCCTCTAAATGTGAAATATAGAAGTGTTCAGGATGTATACTCTGAGAGAAACAAGAGATAGGAAAAAGTTACTTTTAAAAAAATAATTTTGTTCTAAGTAAGAGGTAAACTGTAAATCTTTGTAAAACATGACACAGCTTCAAAGCACAGGGCGTATCAAATCCCTTATCAAGTAAATGTGTTTTTTCTTACTGTTTAGTGTTTCTTCACATCTTTTAATCCAAACAGTAAAGGTATCATCTACATCTAGAAAAGATCAAACACAGTAACATTAAAACTCTTCAAGCACTACACATGTTGCATAAAGAACAAAGTTCTCACAATTGTCAATTGGAACAAATCCATCCCAAACGCACATCAATTTATTTTAAAAGGTATTATTTCCTATTATCTTCTTGCAAACTCTGTCATTCCAGTTAAGCTTTAAGTATTTTTATGTAACTACTATTTAACTCCATTATATTTAATTAACTTAAAATTAATTTGTAGGACACTAGATTCTGTCTGAACTGACCCAAATATCCTGCTGCTTTCCAGTCTGCTCAACTCCTACATAACTGTTTGGAAAGCAAGAAGTATAGTTTTACACATTTTTCCATATTACTAGAATTATTTTTTCAAACAGCCACACACTTCCTCTCTAGAGAAATATCAGAGGAGATGGTCTGTTCTGAGGACAACCCAAAGCCACACAGGTTTTCAGAAACAGCAAGTATTTTCTCCTGGTGGTTTCACACAAACTTCACAAACACATGTAAAGCTTCAGGGATGTTAGAAATACACAGATGTCAATTCTACACTATGAATCAAAATCACAGAAAAGCTTAATAAGACCTTGATATTCTAGGAAGCAAGCTCCCCAGACAGAAATTAATTCACTGGAAAATAGCTCAAAACGTAGCAGTGTAACAACAGAGTAATCATCTTATTGCAACAAAATTCCCAGAAAAATCTTTCACAGTCAGGAAAGTAAAAAAGTGACATTACTGACCAACTACTAAGAACAGCTAAACTTTTAATCTTTTTACAAGAGAGAATTCACACTGAAGGATTTCATGCAACCAACTACCAAGCGGAGGGCTTGAAGAGGCTCAACAAAAGAGTTGCCAGGAAACACACATGTAACACCACATGTGACTCCATTACAGTTATGCAAAGTATGCACCACAACCCCTTCAAATATAAAATGTACAAAAATTTTACAGTGCGCGTAAGGTCTTAAAATTGCTACCCCACTTCTCATGACATTTCCTTTTCCCTTTTCTTCTGCCATGGCCACCAGTTATGTTAAAAGTTATCTAAACAGCAAACTACATAACATTTATGTAATCTCTCAGTTGTTGCTAGGAAAAGATAAAAATGCAATTAATAATACGGCTGTCTGGACATTACAGTACAATCAGCCACTGACTGCTGCAGTCTTTTCTACATTCCTAGCAAATCCTAGACAGAAAATACCTATTTTCTGATGAAATGAACCAACGGTAACTATCAGAGGGTTCTGCTCGAGGATCCAAGGGCTGTCTTCAATTACCTAGTGTATATTTAAGGTATTCAGATGACTGACCGCAAACTCTCCTCAGAAGTACATGGGGAAAGGAAGTGAGGCAAAGGACATGAGATGCAGCAAAGTAAATTCTGATTAGATAAGGAAAATCCCATACTAAAAGAGTGGTCAAACACTGGAGCAGGTTGCCCAAAGAGGCTGTGGAATCTTCAGTCTTGGAGATACTTGGAAATGAACAGTAGATGGACTTGAAAAAACACATGCAAGTTCAAAGTCAATACTGCTTTTGGCCAGGTCACTGAATTAGATGAACCCCAGACCTTCCCTGTAATCTAAATTAATCGATAATTTTAAAACTTAGCACCCATACCCTAAAAAGACTGACAAGTTTTCCAGCTAGGAACAAAGTTTATTAATCAAAAGTGAAAAGAAATTAAGTAGGTTCAGGAGTCTTAAGCAAAGAGAAACTGAGTCAAGTCTCCACTGATTCAGCCTCTGACTTTCAGCAGCAGGTAAGGAATTCTCTTTTTAATTATGGCCTATGACAAGCCTGTTATACAACACAAACTTAAAAAAAAAAGGTCCAGTGTTATCCTCCCTGTTTTCCTAGGAGATTCCCCTTGCCAACCACTGCCTCTTTCC